GTGCCGAAATGGGTGGCGCGGACGCATGGGAACGTCGCCGCTGGGGCTTTGGGTGGGATTGCCTATGGGCCACGAACCGTGTGAAGGGTGTGCCAAAATGGGTGGCGGCCACGAAACGTGTGAACTCCATGCGAACTGTGGCCATGCGAGCCCTGCCGTTTGGGCCTTCGGTGGGGCTCCCTATGACGCCACGAAGCGTTGTACTGGGCGTGCCGAAACAGAGACATGCGGAGGGCAGAGGCAAGGAGGTGGAGGAGGGAGGAGGGGGAGGAGGAGAGGATGAAAGAAGGAACGCAGGGCGCTGTCTTTTCAACATGAAGACCCAACACGACAGGGTGGCACGGAAAAACGCCACATCGCAATCATCATTTACCCACGACGCTCAGCAAGCAACCATCACAGTTGGTGTCCCGATGGTGTCCCGAGGTCGATAATGAGATCGATCGGTGGTGTGGTCGATCGAGTGGGGTCAATAGTGGGGTCACATCGCGACGCAGCATCGTCACCATGCGCCGTCGCCAACTCGAGGGCGCATCACCAGCATCGTCATCAGTGCAGCCATCGCAGTTGTCGTCAGTTGTTTTTTAATCCCTCCCCAACCTCCTTCTTTATCACTAGATGTGTATATATAGAAAGCAGAGGGGGAGAGAGGGACACACTGACAGACAGGAAGACAAACAGAGCAAGAGGGAGAGAGACAAAGAAGAACAACAAATGAATCCATCGACCACCAATAAAAGGAAAGCTGCCACCGGAAATCGCGATCAACTTCAGGACCTCAACCAGCATTCAACACGGCCAGGGACTTCTCAACCCCCTCATTTCAAGGGCGTCTCAGACAGCTTTCCTTGAGGAGGCGGAACCGGGTCATCCCAAATGCAGCGCACTGACGACCCCCCCCCGAATGCTCCGAACCACTCCAGCGTTGGGGATCCCTGGGTGGGGGAACGCGGCGAGTGCATCCCTCGACTCCACCATAAAGAAAGCCGCCCTCTGTTGGAGACGTTTATTCGTTCAAGATGGGGGTCACCACAGGGAATGGACTCTGGTGGATGTGGTGTTGCAGCGCTCCAGATCCTTGCGCCCCCCCCTGAGAAAAAAACCTCCCCAAACATGATGCGGAAAAAAGGCTCAACCAAGGCAGCCCCCATGCTAGCTGCTAGCCACCTTGTGCTAGTTTCTTCGTCTTCCTGCATATCCCCCTCCTCCTCGCCATGGCCCCAACCAGCCCGCCTGGCGTTTTGGACACGATATCCCCCGACTCTCTGCTGTTCCCAGGGACAACATCCTACATGCCTTCAGCCACGGACGAACGGGAATCCTTCTTCTGCCCCTCCTTTCGAAGGAGAGAATATGCAAACATTACTCCGACGGGAAGACCCCACATGAAAAATCTTTCGACTCACCTGAAATAACCTTCACTGTCGAGTGGGCCCCTTAGGGAAGGGGCTCCCCCCTGAGACTTCCTCACACTTCACTAACAGACGAGGCTCCCGCCTGATACCCCCCCCATTCTCAGGCCTCAGGAGCCCAAACGTGACGACAATTACCGGTTCGAGGATGACCCGCTCAGATTAAAAACATGAAGCAAGAGCCCTTAGGGAAAGGGTTCCCGCCTGAGATGTCCTCGCAACTCACTCACAGACGAGCCTCCCGCTTGATGCGTCCCCCATGTTCAGGCCTCAGGAGCCCCAAAATGACGACAATGACTGGTTCGAGGATGACCCGCTCGGATTAAAACATGAAGAGCGGGCCCCATAGGGAGAGGGCTCCCGCCTGAGATTTCATCGCAGTTCACTCACAGACGAACCACCCGCCTGATACTTCTCCCGTATTCAGGCTTCAGGAGCTCAAAATTGACGACAGTTACAGGTTCGAAGATGACCCGCTCGGATTAAAATATATAAAATGCGGGCCTCATAGGGAGCGGGCTCCCGATTGAGCATTCCTCGCAATTTACTCACAGACGGGCCTCCCGCCTGATACTTCCCCCGTATTCGAGGAGGACCCGCTCGGATCCGAGCCCATACTGACGACAAATACAACTTCGAGGAGGACCCGCTCGGATTGGAAGCATGAAGCGCGGGCCCCATAGGGAGAGGGCTCCCGCCTAAGATTTCCTCGCAATGCACTCACAGACGAGCCTCCCGCCTGATACTTCCCCAAATCCAAGCCTCAGGAGCCCAAAAATGACGACACTTACAAGTTCGAGGATGACCCGCTCTGACTAGAAAAAAAAACATCAAGCGCGAACCCCATAGGGAAAAGGCTCCCGCCTGAGACTTCCTCACACTTTACTCACAGACAAACCTCCCGCCTGATATTTCCACCATATTCAGGCCTCAGGAGCCCAAAAGTGACGACGGTTACAGGTTCGACTGAGACCCGCTCGGAGTTAAAAAAAATGCGGGCCCCATCACGAGAGTGCTCCCGCCTGAGACTCCCTCCAAATTTACTCACAGACGAGGCTCCCGCCTGATACCTCCCCCATATTCAGGCCGCAGGAACCGAAACATAACGACAAATACAGGTTCGAGGATGACCCGCTCGGATTAAAACAAAGACAACAAAAAGTGTGGGCCCCATAAGGAAAAGGCTCCCGCCGAAGCCTTCCTCACAGCTCACTCAGAGACGAGCCTCCCAAGCCTCAGGAGCCCGAAAGTGACGAGTGTTACAGGCTCGAGGATGACCTACTCTGTTTTTTCTAATAAAAAATGCGGGCCCCATAGGGAGAGGGCTCCCGCCTGAGACGTCCTCGCAATTCACTCACAACCGAGCCTCCCGCCCGATACGTCACCCATATTCAGGCCTCAGGAGCCAGAAACTGACGGCAGTTACAGGTTCGAGGATGACCCGCTCGGATGAAAAAAAAAAAACATAAAGTGCGGGACTCATAGGGAGAGGACTCCCGCCTGAGACTTCCTCGCAATTCGCTCGCAGACGGGCATCCCGCCTGAGACTTCCCCCATAGTGAAGCCTCAGCAACCGAAACATGACGGCAAGTACAAGTTTGACCCGCTCGGATTAAAATCATGAAGTGCGGGCCCCATAGGGAAAGGGCTCCCGCCTGAGACTTCCTCACAATTCACTCGCAGACGAGCCTCTCGCCTGACAGTTCCCCCAGACTCAGGCCTCAGGAGCCCCAAAGTGACGACAGTTTCAGGTTTGAGGATGGCCCGCTCGGATTGATTAGCCTGGCGAAGGACCCAATCAATGCAGCTGTGAGTATCGCAGTCGTGACTATCATGTTCGATGGGGCTCCCTATGGGGCCACGATCCTCTTGAGGGGTGCGCCGAACTGGGGCGGGGCCGCCATGCGAACTGTCCCACTGGAGCCTTCAGTGGAGCCCCCTCATAAAGCCACGATCCTCGTGAGGTGTGCGTCGACTGGCCCGAGGCTGCCATGCGAACTTTCCCACTGGGGCCTTCGGTGGGGCTACCTATGGGGCCACGATCCTCGTGAGGGGTGCGCCGAACTAGCCCGAGGCCGCCATGCGAACTTTCCCACTGGGGCCTTCGGTGGAGCTCCCTATGGGGCCACGATCCTCTTGAGGGGTGCGCCGAACTGGCCCGAAGCCGCCGTGCGAACTTTCCCATTGGGGCCTTCGGTGGCGCTCCCTATGGGGCCACGATCCTAGTGAGGGGTGCGCCGAACTGGCCGGAGGCCGCCATGCGAACTTTCCCACTGGGGCCTTCGGTGGGGCTCCCTATGGGGCCACGATCCTCTTGAGGGGTGCGCCGAACTGGGGCGGGGCCGCCATGCGAACTTTCCCACTGGGGCCTTCGGTGGGGCCCCCTATAAAGCCTCGATCCTAGTGAGGGGTGCGCCGAACTGGCCCGAGGCAGACCCGACACCACAGGATGGTTGGGAAAACCATGAAGTGCGGGCCCCATAGGGAGAGGGCTCCCGCCTGAGCCTTCCTCACAGCTCACTCACAGACAAGCCTCCCGCCGGATACTTCCACCATATTCACGCCTCAGGAAAATGATGCTGAGTGATGAGAGACTGTGTGATGTGCGACTGAGTCTGATGATGATGGCGGTGGTGATGATGATGATGATGATGAGGATCGAATGGTCGATGGTGATGGTGATCGATGGTGAGTGACTGAATCTGATGATGATGATGATGATGATGATGATGATGACGATGACGATGATGATGATGATGATGATGCTGATGATGATGAAGATGATGATGGTGGTGATGATAATGACCGATGGTGATGATGACTGATGACGGGGTGAATGCGTGAGTGAGGCGGAGAGTGGGAGGGAGGTGAGGTTCCTGCGCGGAGGGTGTCCAGAGAGACCAAAAAACATGTTGGACGTGGGGAACAAAACCTTTCGGGCGGATGTCATGGATAGCTGCTGGATCCCCCTCCCTCGCGCGAGGAAGTGCCGAAGGGGGCTCCAGAGGCGCCGACAGGAGCGTCCAGCGCCGACCTATCACATCCGCGCGGCTCTCCGAAAGTTCGATGCCCAGGCAGAGTGATGTTCTTTCTTCGACACCTGCCCCTCCTTTTCATCCTGCTTTGAGAGGGGACCAGCCCGGGGCCGACCAAATCCACATCGCGAACACCCGCCGGCCGCGCAGCAGCTCCCAGACTGGGGTCGGCGGGGGGAAGGGAGAGAAGATCGTCTCCACGTCTCTCCCATACCCGGGTCATCCAGAGGGGGAGCAGAGGAGATCGGCCGACCCGCGTGAGCGGGTGCGCCGAAGAGGGGGCCAGGAAGAGGAGGGCTGCCGCACCATGGCCCGAGGCGTGCGCGCGGACGGTAAGGGGGGGCCAGGAGACACACCGAAAGACAAAGGGGCATTCTGGGAGGGGACGCCTGGCATCCGTGACCTCCGCACGCATATCCTCACGCCCCCCAACACGCCTTATTTGAAGGCTCCCGACGAAGAGACATCAGAGCGGACCGGCGCTGAGCCACGCCAGCGCCGAACCCGGAGGAGTGGAGAGAGGCCGGGCCCGGCGCGGCGGACCGAGGCGGGCCTGCCGCTCGCACAGGAGCCGTCGCCGCCCCGCTCGAGTTCTGGGAAGGCCTGGCGGCGTGCGAGCGGAGACGAGGGGGGTGGGCTGCGCGTCGCCAGGGCGGCGCTCCCTCCTCCTCCCTCCGCCCCTCCTGCCTGGCCTGCCTCCTCGTCTGCCCAGGGGTGGGAAGGGGCGGAAGGCAACGACGACGACGACAACGACGACGACAAAGAGCACGACGCCGAGCACGACGCCGAGCACAACGCTGCCGACGACGACGACGCCGACGACAACGACGACGCCGACGCCGACGCCAACGCCGACGACGACGCCGACGCCGACGCCGACGCCGCCATCGACGCCGAGCACGACACTGACGCCGACGCCGACGCTGGCGACTTGGGAGTCCCGAAGCTGTGCGGTGACAGAGCGTGCGGTGATCTCGAAATCCCCCAAAGCCTCACCGCACGGTCCGTCACCGCACGGTCTTGGGACCCCAGAGGCCCCTGTCGCCCGAGACGTCCTCGGAGAACGACCCGAGTCCCAAAACCGTGCGGTGACCCCGAATCCCCACCGACTCACTGCACGGTGTGGTCACCGCACCGTTTGGGGGCCCCCGAGCGACGCCGAGCACGACGCCGAGCACAACGCCGACGACGCCGACGACGACAACGAGCCCGACGCCGCCGCCGACGAAGAGCACGACGCCGAGCCCAACACCAAGCACGACGCCAACGCCGACGTTAACGACGACGCCGACGACGCCGACGACGACGACGACGACGACGACGACGGCGATGACGCCGACGCCGACGCCAGCAACGACGCCGAAAAACGACGCCGATGCCGACGACGACGCCGAGCACGCCACCGAGCACGACGCAGAGCACGACATCGACGCCGACGCAGACGCCGGCGCCGACGCCGACGCCGACGACGACGCCGACGATGACGACGACGCCGAGCACGACGCGGAGCAGGACGCCGACGACGCCGACACCGACAACGACACCGACGATGACGCCGACGCCAACCCCGACGCCGAGCAGGACGCCGACGACGCCGACGCCGAACGATCTGGCGCCCTATGGGGCCACGACCTGTGTAAGGGGAGCGCCAAAATGGGTGGCGCGGACGCATGGGAAGTCGCCACCCCTATGGGGCCACGGATCGTGTGAGCGGTGTGTCGAAGAGAGTGGCACGGACGCATGCGAACGTCGCCACTGGAGACTTAGGTGGAGCTCCCTATGGGGCCACGACTTGTGTGAGGGGTGCGCCAAAACGGGTGGCGTGGACGCATGGAAACGTCACCACTGGGGCCTTGGGTTGAGCTCCCTCTGAGGCCACGGACAGTGTGAGGTATGTGCCGACATGGGTGGCGCGGACGCATGGGAACGTCGCTATTGGGGCACAAGGTGGGGCTCCCAGTGGGGCCAGGAACCGTGTGAGAGGTGTACCAAAATGGGTGGCGCGGACGCATGGGAACGTCGCCACTGGGGCCTTAGGTGGAGCTCTCTGTGGAGCCACGAACCGTATGAAGGGTGTGCCAAAATGGGTGGCGCGGACGCATGGGCACGTCGCCACTGGGGCCTTAGGTGGAGCTCCCTATGGAGCCGCGAAATTTGTGAAGGGTGCGCTGGCATGTTTGGCGCGGACGCATGCGAACGTCGCCACTGAGTCCTTAGACGGAGCTCCACTGGGGCCTTAGGTGGAGTTCCCTATGGGGCCACGAAACGTGTGAATGGTGTACTAAAATTGTTGATGATGACGGCAATGATGTTGATGAAGATGATGGGATGAGGGGGGAGGGGGAGGAGGAAGGATGAGTGAATGAGGAACGCTGGGCGCTGTCTCTTCAAAACAAGGGACCAACACGACAGGATGACCGGGAATGAAATAGAAAAGCGGATAAAGTAGGTTGAGGTCCAGGCCCTCCTACGGAATACCAACACACAGCAAAAGCAGGCCGATTATTGAACCAGGAAGGCGCTAGACCTAGATTGGGATCTTGGAATCTAGAAAATACCTACTTTCAACGACCGAGGTGTACAGTTTATGTGCAGAATGACCTCACCACTCTCTGGGAGCAGCGAGGGAATGATACTGCTGACGAGCTCGCCGAGCAAGGAACCAAGCTGCACGGAGAGCGTGCCACTGACCACCCTCGCTGGCGAGAGAGGGCCCGAGAAGAAGTGGAGGGTTGCACGCATTGGCAGGGGGGCGGGGTGGAGGCGACTGGTCGCACTGACCTGATGGAGGCCTGCATCGGCCAGCGCGAGGCCGAGGAGACCTCGCGCTAAGCTGAGAGTGCTCCTCCTCTGCCATCCGCTGCCGCGCAGCCAGGGCCCTCGGATGCTCACGAGCCGTGCTTGTCTGACGCCCCCGTCCCGGGACCCCGCCGACGGGTGGGAGGACTTTCGGGATGTGGGCTACAACTTCAATGGGCACCCCCTCTTGCACGCGCGAGCGACGACGAGGTCGGGCAGAAAGGACGAGATGGTGAACGTTTTCTTATTCGTTGTTTAGACATTGGGCGGAAGGGTGGGAGTGGGGGGTCTGGCTCCAGACCTCTGCTTAATGCCACTGTTTGCAACCGTGCGTCCCATGGGGGAGACCTCGCCTGCTCGGAACAGGCATAAACAACAGCCAAGATCTACTGCAAAGGGGGGGGGGGAGGGGGGCTGCGAGGGCCCGCGCCGATCGGCAAAACAATGAATGAGAAAACAATCACCAGAGAGGACAGGATGACCCCGAATGTTTGCTGTGCTTGCGGGACCTTCCTCTCTGGGCAGAAGCCCACTCGGGCCCGCCTCAGGCTGTGCCGTCGTGATCGTGCGTCGCCTGGCCTGAGTGAGCAGCCGCGGATTCCGAAGGCTCGACGCTGGCCGTCGTGCAAGGCAAGTCTGCAGCACCTCATCTTGTCGGGTGCTGCTAGAAGTGCCCGTAACCCAAGGCGCTCCCAGGATTTCCAGGGATAGGGGCAGAAAAAGTGGCATAAACATAAAAACTCTGAGGTACGCGCGGATTTCTCGGATCGGCGCTGGACCCCCTCCCTGGCGCGCGGAGGGCGCCAGGGGCGGCGCCGGAGGCGCCGCCGGGGGGCCCCAGCGCCGATCCGAGAAATCCGCGCGGACCTCCGAGTTGTTACGTTTATGTCACCTTTTGTTCCCCTAAAGGAAGCCCCCACTGCCTCCAGAGGCCCGGAGTGCCCACTGGGGCCCCCCTCGCAACCCCCCGCCTTGGACCCTCCCGCAGGAAAGCCACGGGAGGTTCCCGCGCGCGCTCGGCACATGTCTTGAGCCCCGGTGCGGAAGGGGGTCCCGGGGGCCCGCGGCGGGGGGGGCGCGAAGCGTCGATCCCCGCCCCGCCGACCCCTGGGGCCCCCGTGCTGGGAGCGTCTGGCTTGTGCGAGGCCGGCCTCCCCGCGGCAGAAGCCCTTTGGGCGTGCCCCCCTCTCCGGCGTAGAAGACGTGCCCGTCTCGGCCTCCGAGGCGGGAGGCGACACTGCCTCGGGCCTCGAGACCGACCCTCGAGTCGTGCTTGGCCGCCGTCGTATCTTACCTCCTCCTCCTCCTCGTCCTCCTCTTCCTCATCGCCCTCATCTCTCTGACCCCCACAAATACTGCCCCTGGGGTTCCACAACGGCTGGGGGTGTACACGCAGCCCACTTGCTCGGCAATGCGTCAGCCCAACGTTTAGCGACATAGGCGCTCCCAAACAGCAAAGGCTGCGGTGGTTCGCCGCAGGCGTCTTTACTCCATACGTTCAACGACGGGAGTGCACGCGCAGTTGCAGGACGGCCGTGCACCCTGGCGGCCGCCCTTGCAAGAACAACACTTGCGCCTGACCTCGCGTGGACATGTGCGCGCGAATGCCCCCGACATCGACGACTGCACGGCGCCCCCATCCGCCTCCCCCGACTTCAGTGACTTCCAGACGCCGCGAACAAACAGAATGCGGCCGTTTCAATTCGATCTTGGCCACCGGGCACGCTGACGAGCCACAGGACCATCAACAGACGGAACAGATAAAAGGGGATGGCTCGAGGAGGCTCCAGGGACCCAAGCCGTGAGGAAAACCTCGACGTCGGGAAGACTGGGCGCCTCGCCCTCCTTGTCTCCTCTTTTGCCTCCCCCTGTTCTCCGACGACGGCCTCCCTACTCCTCATCCTCTTCCTGCTCAGAGTGGCGAGGAAGGGTGTCCGCGGCTGGCTGCTCGAACGTGCCCTCCCGCTCGAGCTCCAGGCCGTGGAAAGCCTCGGGCACTTATGATGTGTGCGTGCGTGCGTGCGTGCGTGCGTGCGTGCGTGCATGCGTGCGTGCGTGCGTGCGTGCGTGCGCGCGT